CTAATGGTGTTGTAATCGGGAGTATCACAGCCCTCTGCATGGCCTAATTGCAGCAACGAAGATAAAGGTGAAGAACCAACAGCATACCCACTCTCACACACTCGTTGGATGCAATCTATGTATTCTTTTTGGCATTTAGTGTTTATACATGTAGTTGTAGACCACTGCTACCTGAGCTAACTACTTCTTCTGGTGGTTGACGAAGCGCAGTGTCAGCAGACCAAGCAGCCGATACACCACAATGAAGCCCAAAACGAAGCCGAAGTTCTTGTAGATCTCGCTGTGCTTCATCAGGAAGACATCTTCAAGGTAGTCCTTCACCGTCATGTTCTCGGGAAGGGAAGGTGGCAATCCAGTCATTACCTGACATCCAACGTCCGATCCGTCACCGTCACTTGGGCAGTCACCAAAGACCAGAGACGCGACCAAGGCCAGCGAGTACTTGTGCGGTGTAATGTGGTACAGCCACTTGTAGCCCGTCGGGATGGAAGCTCCAGGAGGGTTGAAGCCGTTGAACAGGAAGAAGATCGTCTGCAGCAGCACTCCGAAGATATTAGCTACTTCGACTGTCGGCATGAGGTACGACATGAGCTGGCCGAAATACGCTTGCCACAGCACGTGCATGGAGAGATGAAGCCAATAGGCGAAGAATGTAGTCGCGCCGGTGAAGCCCACCATGGGGTAGTACGGAGCCATGAAGAGCAGCGTGCCGAAGAAAACGTACGGGATCTCCACCAGCGTCGACCCAACGAAGTACCAAAGCGCGTTGTACGTCTGAGACGCACGTTCGCGGTAGAAGGCCAGGCGATCTTCGGAAGCAATGGGCATCACACTGCTGAAAGAGATGAAACCAATGAAGCCCGTTGTGCAGAACAGCATGCCCATACCCGAGTTGATACCGGCGTACGAAGTGTACTCCGCGTCGATATACGTGATACCAAAGACAAGTCCGAGAATGAGGAAGAGGCTAAATCGCGTCAAGTTGTACGAAGCTGTACGCCAGTACATCCTGAAGAAGCGCTGAAGAAGGAGTCTGGCCTGAGTCATCTCCGTTGCAGCACGCTTGTCACCGTACGTCAACTCAGGCAAGTCTGGAGACGGACGTGCCACACCCTCGCGATCCAGGTTAGACTGGAGGTATTCGAACTGCTTGCTCGACTGGAAGATCTTCACAAAGTCGGTCCTGTCGCCGTTGCTGTTGCCCACACCTGCACCGATAACCTCGAGCATCCACGTTGCTGGGTTGTAGTTGTCCTCCAGCTTTGCCACACCGTTAATCGATTCAAAGTAAGCAATCATCTCGCTGGCGTTCTTACCCAGTTCTCCAGCGAACACCGTCTCACCACCACGCTTCAGTAGCAGCAGACTGTCAAAAACACTGAACACTTCTGTCGATGGCTGGTGAATCGTGCACACCACCGTTCGACCAGTGTTCGCCACCTTGCGCACACCGTCCATGATAAGCTTGGCAGAGCGAGCGTCAAGTCCACTCGTCGGTTCGTCCAAGAACAGCACACTCGGTTGAGCTGCTAGCTCCACGCCAATTGTCAATCGCTTCATCTGCTCCACGGAGCTGCCACGGATGATCTGGTCGGCGATCGGGTGCAAGTCTAACAACTCCAAACACTCGTTCACCGAGTCATACTTGAAGCTGTCGGGCACATCGGCTCCCTGACGCAGGAACGCGCTGAACGTGAGTGCCTCACGGATGGTAGCCGACTCGGAGTGAATGTCCATCTGCTCACAGTAACCCGTGGATCGACGGATAGAGAGGTCGGTGGCCGGGTGGCCATTCAGCAGGATCTGGCCGGTGATCTTGCCTCCAGTCTTTCGTCCAGCGATAACGTCCATGAGGGTAGTCTTACCAGCACCCGAAGATCCCATGAGAGCGGTGATAGTACCGGGTAGAGCGTATCCACTGATACCCTTGAGCAGGTCGATGGTTTCCTTGGGGTTGGCCGGGTCGGGAACGCTGTACCAGAGGTCCTTAAATGCGATAGTAACTGGGATAAAATGCTTCTCGCTGTCAGGCGCCACAGTCACTAGGGTCTCATCTCCAGCCTGCGAACTGCGTGGTGTCTTCAAGAGGCCGTAGTCATCGGATGTCTCTTCCTTGTTCCCATTATCCAGCGTCACGTTCTCCGGACTCTCGAAGCGGTGGTATTCCAGTGAAATGTACGACAGGAACATGAAGAAGACGTACGCTGCCGCCATGAAGACCATGCCGTACCATAGCCAGAACTTCTCAGTCGGCACCTCGAACGTCGTCAACGAGTACTCGCCCATAGTCATGTTGTAGTTGGCGCAGTAGTCGACATCATTGTACACACAGGTGTCAAAACTGTCATCAGTGTACTGATTCACAGCGAGCGCTCGGACTCCCCAGGCCATGGGGTTGATCCAGTAGATCCAGATGAGGTAGTCGGGGATTTGGTCCTTGGTGATGACGAAGCCGGCGAAGAGGACGAAGAAGAGGATGGAAACCATGGAGATCGGGTTGGCCACATTCAGATCCGGTGAAGCGCACGACAAGAAGAAGAACCACGCTGCCATCGCCAGGTTCGTCAGGAATAACATCAACTCGAACAGGAGGAAAGCTTCGACCGTGGACACGTATCCACACATCCAGTACAGAATGGATCCAAACACCAAGCTTTCAGCGAAACCCAATGGGATTTGGCTCACCGAGTTCGATAAGACAAAGGACGAAGTACGGAAGAAGTTGGCTCGACG